AAGAGTTAATTTTGATGAATAAATATTGAAGTAAAAATGGCAAATACAAAAATATCCAGCAGGTCTTCAGGAGTGGGTGATTTCCATTCTCACAAAGTCACTGTAACCAATAATGTGACAAAGGGGTGATTTAAAAAGGGAGCAATTTTTACCACCACAAACACTTGGTTTAGGAAACCAGGCCAAGGCTGCAGGTGGTGACATCACTGCCAACAACAACCAAGATCAGGGACCACTGAAGAACAAGGTCTAATCCAAAAACCTAAAAATGACTGGCTCTGCCAGTTCTGTCTGAACACAGAGCCACCAGCAACACTCTGACAGTGATTATATGCAAACACAACAAATGCTATGCCTTGATCTTCTGTGATTTAGCTCTGACACTTCCCAGTCAGTTTACCACCCCTGTTCTCTAGGGAATAACCAGGACAGGAAATCCTGAACCTTCTGGAGCCCAGAGCACAGAACCATCACCACTGCAAGGTGGGAAAGGTCTTGGGATGTGACATGGTACCAGGGCACATGTTCACAGATCACTGTGCCAGAGAAACACCTGAGAGTCAGTCCAGAGCTCTTTGTGTTTCCACTGAGCTTTATGCAAACCCTGCTGTGGTATCTGGGATCACAGTCACAGAGGTATTTAAGGAGGTTTAAATCTATTTTAACAGCTAGTTATATATCCAGAAACAAAAAGGCAGTTTCTTTCAAGGCTTTCCTATTTTCTACAAACCAAACATGCAGCAGCTTCTCACTCATGTCTAAAAAAATCTCCTTCAGGCAACACCTAACAACAAGATCTTTGATCTTTGCTCAGTTTTCACAACACATCAGCAAATTGTCTGACAAATATTCCTTGTCCAGTCCTGCTGTGACAGTTCATGATGTCACCAACTCCCAGCCATCCATCCACACCTGCTACTGAAAATCTGCCCCTTTCAGTACCACTAAATCAAACTATGAATTAATTTTATTTGGGGCACATGTTGTATTTAGGCAACTGTATCAATTCCCCACAGTAATTCTTCCATCGTGGAATGCAGACAAATATATTCAATAACCTTCCCTCCATAAAAGGAGGTGCATGAAACCCCTGTAACTTGCAAAGATTTGTTTCCTTTCCTCACATCTCAACCACAAACACACAGACACTGAGGCAAACGTGATCCTGAAAGTCTGACACGCCCTGTGATTGTCTCACACCAGAAACAATTCTTAATGAAACCTCCTGAAAACATGAAACCTGAGCAGGGCCTGTTTCAGAACAACTCAAAGTTACATCACTTACCTATCACTTGCAGAAATTCAGTGTTGCTGATCTGTGAATCACTAATGCTGAAAGTCTCTTCTTGTCTCACCTCTCCCAGCAGAAATCCTTCCTGCAATTTTAAAACAAAAAGATTAAAAATAGGGGAAAAAATCAACTATATGCAGTCATTTACTGTAACTTTCTTAGCTTCAAACTGAAACAAAGGTGAAGTTTGAAAGACACATCTGAGCTGCAGCGGGGAGAAACTGCCCTGAGGTTTTACCAAAGCTGGTTTTCTGCTTTGCCAGCATCCTTTTACAACACTACAGGGATGGGCTGTCCAGAAGGAACATTCTACACACGACCCACATAAGGCAAACACATAACAAAAGGGAGGGCTCAGCCCCAGACACAAGGGGGAAAAGCTCCAGCAAAGCCAAGGGAAGAGGAGTTCAAACCTGCAGGGACTTACACAAATTTTAGTGTGGAGACTGGGCTGGACCCTGACCAACGCCGGGATTGCAAAACCCAGAGGGCAATTTAAAAGTAAGGCAATTTTAAGGTACATTAATTTATTCTCCATCCCTACCCAAAATGAAGAAGGAGATTGAGCTGGAATCAGGAGGTTTTGGCACAAGGCGCAGAGGAAAAGAGCAAGCTCAGGCTAAAAAGGTGCCAACAAAACCCAGCGATTCGGGAACACCCCGGCTCTGCACTGCGCCCGTGGCGGGTCGCAGCCGCTGGAAAACCGCTCATGGAGCTTCTACAGGAGCGTTTTCCTCCCACAACCCGCGTCCTGCGGGAGCCCCACCCCGCGGGGAGCACCCCGGGCACCCCACATCCCGCCCGGGCACCCCACGGGGAGCACCCCTGGTTCCCCACATCCCGGGAACAGCATCCCGCGGACCCCACACCCCGCTCAGACACCCCACATCCCGGGAGCAGCATCCTGGGGTCCCCACACTGCGGGAGAAGCACCCCCGGGCAGCCCACAGCCTACCCGGGAAGGAGCAAACCAGCAGCCCATATCCGCGGTACCCCGCGGAGCATCCGGGGCACCCCACATGCCGGACACCCCACATCCCGCGGAGAGGCCCCACATCCCGCCCCGCTGTGTCCGTCTGGGGCCGCCCCCGCCCGCCGTGACCAGCGGCCGGGCCCCACCGGCGGCGGCGCGGCCTGGAAGCTCCGCAGCGCAGCCGCCGGCCGGGGTGCAGCGTGAGGGAGCCCCGCGGGCCCGGGGCGGCGGCGGGGGGCACGTACGTGGTCGGCGCTGCTGTTGGCGCTGCAGTAGCACACGGAGCTGAAGGTGTAGCCGGAGATGGACGCCGCCATGACGGACACACCGCCGCCGACGCCGCCAGGGCGCACGCGCGCCGGACGCACGCCCGCTTCCGGCGGCGCCGCGGGGCGTCATGGGGAGTGTAGTCCCAGGGGGGACAGTGAGGTACCCGCATGGGAAGGTTGGGAAACTGTGGGAGCAGTTGGACCACTGAGTTTGGAACAGAGCCCCGAGCCCATCGAGCCCAACCTGTGACCGATCACCAACCGGTCACCCAGCCCAGAGCACTGAGTGACACGTCCAGGGGTTCCTCGGACACCTGCAGGGGTGGAGACTCCTCACCCTTTCCAACCTTTAACAACCACTTCTATGAAGACATTCCTCCTGATGTCCACCCTGAGCTGCCCTGGCCCAGCCTGAGGCCGTTCCCTCTGCTCCTGTCCCTGTTCCCTGGAGCACAGCCCGACCCCCTGGCTGTCCCCTCCTGGCAGGAGCTGTGCAGAGCCACAAGGGCCCCCTGAGCCTCCTTTGCTCCAGGCTGAGCCCCTTCAAAGATCCCTCAGCCCCTCCTGGGGCTCCAGAACCTGCCCCAGCTCCATTCCCTTCCCTGGACATGCTCCAGCCCCTCAATGTCTGTCTGATCCTGAGGAACTTTGATATGCTGGAGCTTGTCCAGAGGAGACCACAAAGGTGATGAGGGAGATGGAGCCCCTCTGTTCTGGGACAGACTGGAGAGCTGGGGCGGTGCACCTGGAGAGGAGCAGCTCCAGGGAGAGCTCAGAGCCCTGCCAGAGCCTGAAGGGGCTCCAGGAGAGCTGGAGAGGGGCTGGGGACAGGGATGGAGGGACAGGACACAGGGAATGGCTCCCACTGCCAGCAGGGCTGGATGGGATATTGGGAAGAAATGCCGCGGTTCACACACATGGAGCTGTACAGAAGGCAACTGCGCAGCAGTGCTGTTTATCACTCTCATTTTCTTCTTAAAACCCCTTGCAACAAACCTCACAACAGCAATAACGCCTGCGACATTTGCAACGAACAAATATCGAAAAGAATAAACAGTTCCTTTAAACATTGCGCTGATTTTCATGGAATCGCGGAGCGGTTTGAACTGGAAGGGACCTTCAGGGCCATTTAATTACAACCCCTGCCACGGGCAGCGACACCTTGGGCGCAGACCGTGTGGCTGCCAGACGGGATTTTAAGTGACCGCATTGCGCTGATTTTCATGGAATCGCGGAGCGGTTTGAACTGGAAGGGACCTTCAGGGCCATTTAATTACAACCCCTGCCACGGGCAGCGACACTTGGGCACAGACCGGGTGACTGCCAGACGGGATTTTAAGTGACCACAGGAATTTGGAAACATTAGAAACCAAGCCAGGTTCTGGAGCGGGCCGGATTTAGGTTTTAAACGCCCTAAAACATTAGAAACCCCTCAGGTCTCTACGTCTCCCCTCACGGCCGGATCACCGAGCCCGGCTCCTTCCGCCCGCAGCGCTCGCTGGTTCCGGGGCGTGCCGGGCATGGCGCTGGCCGGGGACGAGCCCTTCAGCCCCTCGGTGCTGGGCACCAGGGAGCAGTGAGTGCCGGGGCACGGCGTGGGCACCGCGTGTGCCCCACGGGGCCGGGCACGGGCGGGACGGGGCTCGGAGCCACCCGCGCTGGGGAGGGCGGATGAGAGGTGTTTAGGGTGCCCTCTCGACACGAACCGGTCCGTGGTTTATGCGTTAGTGATTTGTTTAGAGAATCTGTGGTTCTGTAGAGTGGCACTGCTGCACAGAGGGTTCTCAGCCTTTCGTGGAATCATGGAATGGTTTGGGAGAGAAGGGATCTTAAATCCCGTCCAGTGCCACCCCTGCCATGGCAGGGACACCTTCTGCTATTCCAGAGTGCTCCAAGCCCCAACCTGGCCTTGGGCGTTGCCAGGGATCCAGGGATCTACAGCTTCTCTGGACACCCTGTGCCAGGGCCTGCCCACCCTCCCAGGGAACAATTCCTTCCAAATATCCATCAAAATCACTTTCAGCTTAAAGCCATTCCCTTCATCCTGTCCCTCCATCCCTTGTCCCCAGTCCCTTTCCAGCTCTCCTGGAGTCCCTTTAGGCACTGGAAGGGGTTCTGAGATCTCCCTGGAGCCTTTTCCAGGTGAATCCACCCACTGCTCTCCCAGCCTGGCTCCAGGCTTTGGAGCATCTCCAGGCATTCCCTGGACTCTCTCCCATATGTTCATGTTCTTATGCTAAGGACCAATGCCTCACCACCCTCACAGTCAGTTTCTTCCAAATATCTAACCTAAATCTATCTTTCAATTTTTCTTCCCATTCCTCTTTAATCTAAATATTTCTTGGTATTAATTATGATACCCTCTCCTTTCTTCCCTCCCAACTCCAGCTGGGATGCTGCCTACGAAAGAGAACTGCAAACTTTTCAAGACATTGGAGATACCGGGGAAATCTGGTAAACCAAATAACTTCTGCAGAGTGTTTCTGTTGTTTCTTTACCGTAAAAGACATTGCAAAACCTCAGACAGCAATTCAACGAGTTGGTGACAAAATGATGGGGAGTTTTACCATTGAAACCAGCAGTTCCTCTCTGGCCCAATTTCACAGTGAAGATTGCTCAGCTGCACTTGGGCAAGTGTCATTACACAGAAATTGAGCTGGTAATTGAGGTGTATATTACTGGCAAATGTGCTTTTTATCCCTGAGCTCAGGTTTAACTACACAAGTTGCCCTTGTTGCTTCCTTTTTTAATATATGGATGTTTTCACCTGCCAGAGTTGGTCTTTCAGTGAATTTTAAGGCTGCAGGATTAATTTTCATCTGAACAAAGCAAACATGAAATATGAGCTATGGCAGCTTTTCCTTTAGTAACAGTAAAAAGGGCTTTGCAAAAGCTGGAGAGAGTGAGTGATGAAATAAACTTGCTGTACCTTTTGCACATTTTTTTTCTGGTTTAATTACCTGAGCCCTTGTTTTTTCCAGGTTTGGAGAAGAAAGCATGGCACGCATAATCAGGTGGCTGGAAAAGAACAAGGTCCCCCTTGACAGCTCTGTGCTTGACATTGGGACTGGGAACGGTGTTTTACTGGTTGAATTGGTTGGTATTTTGCAAAGTTTGTGCATTTTTTTAAACAGAATCAGAGCAGTTTAAATACAGTTCTCACAAGTGGCAGTGGTAGTCATGGGGAGATGTAACCTGTGTGAAACACCAGAAGTGTCAATACTTCAGGCTTCCAAATTTGAAGTATTTCTCTAAGTCAGTCAGCCTGAGCATCCCTTGTTTTAACTCTACCTTCCTGTTTCCCCACATTTAAAACTGCATTTCTTCCCACTTAAACAACACAGTTGTTTAAACTCCCCCAGATAAGGAAATTAGGTTGATTAATTCACAAGGTACCCTCATGTACAAAACCAGACTCTTTCTCTGCACTCAGTTCTGATAATAACACTCATTATTGATACAAAAAAGTGGGTAAACCCAGGGTATGTTAGGTAAATAACTTAAAAAGTTGTTAACACTTTTAAAGAAGTGTCCATTTCTGTCAGGGTGGGAAATCTGATCAGGTGTGTTCTGAAGTGTTCTGATGTTTCTGTTGTGCAAAAGATGTTAATGAACTCCATTATTTTTTTCCTGGTTTTGATTGATTTTTTTTTGGTGTAATACTGCAGGGGAGTTGGTAAAAAAAGGGGCTGTCACATTGTCACAGCTTCTGTTGTTTTGCATTCCCCTTTGGCTCCATTAGTTCTTGTAGGAATTGGAAAGACTGAAAGTCAAAGTCTGGTTTGGAGTTTTTTTTTTTTAACATGGACTGTGATTTTAGAAGATTTTAAAGTCTTTATGGAGACTGGCTGCTACACCACAGCACAGGAGAATTTATGTCAGCAAAAGCAGAAATTGCTCATCTCACTAAGAGAAATTAGCCTGATAATGGTAATTGTTGAGAGCAGTGATAACTTTATAATGGTTGAAGTACCCAGCAGAAAAAATCTTATTTGTAAGACTTCCATTTCATACTGACTCCACTTGCAAATGGGAAACTGATTTTTCATACTATAATGGGAAAATGACAGCCTGATAGCTTTTAAAAACTATTAACTCCTGTGAGAGCACCCTCCTCCCTTACATTAAGCACCTCACAGTACTGTGGTTTCTTTCATAGGAAATTGTCAGTCCAGTTCCCTTTTGAAAAGTGGCTTCAAAAATTACCTTGTTTACTTTTGCTGAGTAACTCAGCATCTCACTTGCTTAGTTGATGTCAAAGGAATTTTTTGTGTGTTAGCTGCAAGGCTTGGAAATCAAGTTGGAATTCTTTTGGCAGCTACCATAGGACTGTTCTGCCATTGGAGCTGGATTCCATCATGGGGTAGAAATGGCAATACTGGAAAAAACTCAGTCATAGAGGACATTAGTAGCAGCTCTCTGCAAGGGAGCTACTTGAGGGTACATGAGTATCACATAAGTGGCACCCCTTGCTGCTTTTATTGTCCCTGTGAACTTCAGGGACCTGGAAGCTTGGATTCGTGACATAATTCTTTTGCCTTCCAAAAATTCCAGCTCTTCTGAGGAAACCTTGCTGCCACAGACAGCTCTGGCCTCCTCTTATTTTTATAAGTAATATGGGAGCCACCAATATTGAAGATTGAATAATCTCTGAAGTGGAGAGTGTTCACCAGCTGGGGGTGTGAGCCCTAAACTCAGGGCAGAGCTGATAATGTTCCAAGCTCCTTCTGCTCTTCAGTCTTCTGCTCTGAGCAGCAGCAGAGTAAAATCACCTCCAGGGCAGCAGGCCAGCTGCAGGGTGCAGCATGGTCACGTTTGGCACAAGTGAAGGATCCCTTCCTGTCACAGTCAGGCCCTACAGGTTCTGCAGCATTTAATGTTGTTTATCTCTAAACCTTCCTTCTCTGCCCCCGAGACTAGAGGAGTGAATGGGAACTCCCTGAAGTGACTCAAGCCTTTCCTTTGCAAACAGAGGAGCTGTTGTGGGAACCACTCCTCCACCCCCAAACCTTCAGCACAGGCATCTGAGGAAGCCTGCTTTGCTCCGGGGAGGAACGTGGGCAGGAGCCTGAGCAATAAATGTTCTCCATCCCATGCAAACAACAGTGTCTTTGTGTTCAGCTGCAATTAGCCCTCAGTTCAGAACAGCTGGTTAGCACTGAGCTCAGGCCTGAGGGGCTGCTGCAAGGAGGAAGGACAGTTGTGGAAACTCCTCATCTTTTTCCTGGCAATTGGGGTGTCAGCCTCTGGAACAAGCAGACAGGCAGCTGGTTGCTTAACAGCACTCCATGTGTTTTTCCAAACCCCAGCCTCCTCCCTGTCTCTGCTGTGACAGCCTGCAGCTGGCCAGAGGATCAGAGCTCTTCCATCAGGTTTGGATCTTGCCAGACACATGAGTTTATACCTTCTACCCCGAGCTGGTCCCTTCAGCCTCCACCTCAGAGCAAGGACGTGTGTCCCTGCTCCCCTCCCATGTGCCCAGCTCCAGCTGATGCCAGGAGCCCACCTGCTTTGCCAAAGGGCTGCTGGGATCTCACTGAGTTCCCTAAACTGAGTTATCCTTATCTCCAACAAACTTAGATTAACAAAGTCTCTGTGTGATATTGTATGTGGTGCATAACCTGCCTGAAAATTGCTGATACAGACACCTGGCAGCATGCAAATAGTTGTATTCAAATAGACATTAGCATGAATAATTAGAAAAATGTATGATTTTGCTGTGGATTTCTGTCCTAGTGCATTGCATTGCATCTTTTAGCTCTTAAAATTTGGATTATAAACCAAATAATTGCTCAGTCTCCAAAGGTACATGTCAGAGAGGGTTTTTTCCCTTATTTTGAAGCATCTGTCACATGTCATCACTGAAAATTCCTGGTTTCTAAGTTACTTTTGGTGCAGATAAGAGAGCCTGTTCCCCTCCAGGGTGTTACTTTTCCCAGTTGTGCTCAGTTTTCCACTTGACATAAACCAGCTTTCAGTCACCAGTCATTTTGGTGAGGTTTTTTTGGCAGAATAAAGTTATTTCAGCTCATTCAGCTATTGAGTTCTTGTAATGGTAACAGGTATAAAAATGAGTAAAAGGTGAATTGTGTTTTTTCCTGTTACTAAGAGGAGGAAAGATGAGATGGATTGTAGGTAGGGAATGTTCTGGCTGGATAAAAACAATTGCTAGCACACTGATTAAGATTCTCTGCTTCTGTCTAGGCAAAGTCTGGCTACATGAATCTCACAGGGATTGATTATTCACCTTCTGCAATACAGCTTTCAGAAAAAGTAAGAGAGAAAGAAGGGATGTCTAACATTAAATTAAAGGTAAGTCTTGAGAGAAAGCTAATTGAGCAACTAGAAAGCAATTGAGCCCAAGATTAAACGAGCTAATTGATATTCAGATGTACTCATGAATTATGTCTTTTGAGATTCATTTGTGAGCGAGAACTCTACCCAAATAAATCTATTTATGGGAAGATTTTTGGTCTGTATTTGTTTTTTGTTTGTAATAGTCATTAAGGCTCACAAGAGTTTCCCTGCTTGGAACAGAGTAGTGGTTTACCAAGTAGCAAGTTCTGTATTTTAGCTGCTACATTCTGAATTTCAGACTTGAGGTAGAGGAGGAAATCCTGAAGTGATAGAATGCCTCCCATTAGCTGAACAGCAGGCAGGTTGAGAGGCCTTGCTGGAGCAGGGGTAGGAGCAGATGACCTCCAAAGGCCCCTTCCAGCCTCAGCCACGCTGGGATTTTGTGGCTGCCTGTCATTCTGAGCCCTCTGCTGTGCTGTTCTGCCCTCCTGCTCCCTACCTGTGTGATGTCTCTGCTCCTGTGTGTCAGCTGTAAAATCTCTTCGTGGCAGGCTCTGTCTGTTCTGCGTTTGTGCAGTGCCTGGCACATGGCAGGGATCAAAGTACAAATAATGTTTTAAAGAGTGAGCTTCGAGTGTGTTAGTTTGAGCTTTAGAGTACAGCAAATAGATCATCACACAATGTGTGGAGAAGAAAGAAGCTGCCATGGCACTGTGAGTTACCCCTCCCTGAGCACACCCATTGTCAGGATTGAAGCTTTGTATCCTAAAGTCTTGCTTTGCATTAAAGATTCAGGAGTAGAAGATTGTTCTCACAGCTGCAGACTTCTGGTTTAGGTAGAAGACTTCCTGGCACCCTCAGCTGAGCTGTCAGGCTTTGACATTTGCATTGACAAGGGGACTTTTGATGCCGTAAGCCTCGACCCCAGCGACGCGGTGGGGAAGCGGAAGCTGTACGTGGGATCCCTGGGCAGGGTGCTGAAACCAGAGGGCTTCTTCCTCATCACCTCTTGCAACTGGACCAAGGAGGAGCTGCTGAACGAGTTCAGAGAAGGTAGGCAGCTGAGCAGAGCCCTCTGCCAACGTGGGGCTGCTGAAGGAAGGGATGAGGGAATTTTAATGTGTGTGTGTTAGCATATTGACTTTCCCAGATCAGGATTAGAGGAGGTGAAGCGATTAGTAAATGCTCCAGCCTGTCTTCCCTCTGTTTTCCTCGGGAATTACTACTCCTGTGTTTGCCAGTGCCAAGGGAGGACAGGTTTCCTGACGCTTTGGAGGCTGGGAATTTCAGTCTAATTACCCTGGGAAAGTGTGTGTGGCTGGCTGATACTTTTTGGGTCCTTGATTACTAGACCCAGTTCACCCTTTGATTGCTCCGAAATTGGGGTAACATTGTTACCCATGTTTAGGGGGAACTGGCAAGCCTGTGACCTTTTCTATCACTTTTGATCCATCTAGGAGGTTTTTTTACATACCAGTCAGCTCCTGAATCTCATGCCTGAGGCTTGAAACTCAGTGTGGATCTGAAACAGCCATCCCTTCTGGGGAACCGAAATTACTGGCAAGTTCTCATCTTTTCTGCCATTAATTTGTGCAAGTCAGCCAGCGAGGATTTTTATTATCCATGGAAGAGTTTCAGCTGTATAAAGCAGTGGTGCAGTGTAACAATACAGTCCTATAAACTCACAGATTAACTGACTTGCAAGTTTTCCAGACGAATAAAGAATGGTTTGCAAAGGGTTATCCAAGAGGCGAATAAAACAACTTCCTTCTAATAAAAGCATTTCAATTTCTGTCTGGCAGGATTTGATATTCTGGAGGAGCTGCCAACACCCAAGTTTTGCTTTGGAGGAAGAATTGGAAACAGTGTAACAGCATTGGTTTTCCAAAGGAAAAAAGTGAAGCCATCCATCTTGGACAAATTAGATTAGATGAGAAAAGCCTGAACTTTAAACCTGACAGAAAACCTCAGACACGTGTGTAAATAAATGCTTTTTGAGTGCACAGTAAAATACTATGTATGGAGCTCTGAGGGACTATAAAACATTGCCCTAGAAACATTTCAGCTTTGCATAATTTGCCCATAAATTGTGTCCTTGCTACAACCTCAGTTGTTTCAGGGAAGCTGCAAGTTCGCAAGAGAGAGGAAAATCAGATGTGCTAAATACAGAGACCAATATAACTGAATGGTATTTGTGTTTGAGACATAAAGATTATCTGATATTTAATTTCTGTGCTGGTAAGCAGTGACCTATAGAGGTAAAGGTGTCCTACATAGCAAAATTCTCATTTCTCTGTTGTGCAGTGGAATAGGGAACAAGCTTTTGCAGTGTAAGTTCTGGATCTTTAATGAACACTAGGGTAGCTGTTAGGGAGGGAAATGAATACAAAATCCACAGCACTTTCAAAAAAGGACCAGTTGGTACTTTAAATTCAGATTTTCTGAGGTTCTCAGACTTAGCATAATTGTGTCTGCTCTGAAGTAGCTCAGCTCTTTTCCCACAGAGGGAGTGTTTTAAGTCTCCCTTTCCTGAGTGTGTTCATGCCTGGTCAGTTCCTTTCCCTGATCTCATGAATACATAAAGGTGTGATGTTGCAGCCTCTGGTGTGTGACATATGCCTCCTTCATTATTAACCTGCTATATGGGAATGTCTTTAGAGCCACAATGACAAGAAGTTTTCCAGTGAATTTCTCAGGGTGGATTTTAACTGTGTAAATCCAAAAGAATTCAAAGCATAACTATCCATTCCTTGGTTGTTTTTTTTTTAATATGTATTTTTTTTTTAGACTTCTGTGTGCAATCCTTTTGCTCAATTTCATTGCCTTCATTTCTTCTGTTTTGTAATCTCAGAATATTGCTGTTGCTTGAAAGGCAGGAAAATGAGATTTCTTCATGCCTCGACAAACACATTTGCAGGTGACAATAAACTTGTTCTTTCAGACATCAAGGAGGCCCTCTTAGGCAATCAGGTTTTGTTTCACAGGCAAGGTCATGTTTGCTTATCAGGGAATTGCTTCTCCTACTTTCCATGCTTCTCCTCGTTCCCAGGGCTCAGGAGATCTTTAAGGGTCAATAAATACTTACAGTCCTTTCCCAGGATAGGAATCAGGGCATTCTTTTGCACAGTGGTGAGTCCTCCCTCTGTGATCCATCTGTTGATGTCTTCAAGATAGGAATCTTACTGCTGCATCTTTTTTTTTGCAAAATGAAATATGTTCAACTGGGGAAATGGTTTATCAGCAGTGCTGAAAAAATTCAGTCCCAGAATAATTCTTTGCATATTTGGACAGACCTGGTTCTAACCTGAGTGCCAAAACCAAGGGCTTGTTACCATTTGTTGTAGTCCTGTGTTCTGCCCCTGCCCAGCAGCCAGCTAGGAAATGTAACTGGGAATACCAACAGAGGATTTTTTTTTTAGCAGAGTAGCACAAAGGATTCAAAGTACACTGCTGATAACAGCCTCAGTAAAAAGCCTGTGACATTTTTGGCATCAGGTAGAGTTAATAGAAGAAAATTTTAATTTTCAAGGACTCTGGCAGGATGTGTTTTGGGCATCTGTTTTATTCCCATCTGTAATTTTTGCTAATGAAGGCATGATGTGTATTTAATCATGGGATGAAAATAAAATCATGGACTGTCATGGATTTTCTTTTAATCAATTAGTTGGAATTTAACTGTAGATTCCCACTCCACAAGATCTGGAAGGGTCAAGGCAAGGATTGTTTTCTCCTCTTCACAGAATTGATTATTATTACTTTTTGTTCTCTGGGTAGTATTTTTATATAACTTGTAAAGCTAAAATATAAGCTTCTTAAAATTGCCTGAAAATAAGGATTTCTGCATCTGATCTGTAGTTTGCATATTCCTTCAGTCCCAAGCACTTCCAGGTGTCACTGGAGAGCAGAAAAATGCCTGTAAAACATGTTTTAGGAGCTTTATTTTAAGGCAACAGTAACCAAAGGCTTACTATTTAAAATCTGCTCTGTTGGAAACCTGGCATTTTCTGGATAATGGAGTCTAGGAAGCTGCTCACATCCTGACTTCGGCAGCGGGATATTTTTGGCTATGAGGATTTGGAAATTACTTGTCCAAGACTGTCCTTGATTTGGGGCAGTTCATGTTGGTGTGGTCTCTAAACATTTATGCATTCCAATGAAAACCCTTGGAAAAAGAAGCAGAGGAATAAGCAGTGATTTAGGGGGAGCAGGTCTTTGCTGGAAGTTGGGGGAGAGCTCCGTGGTGGTTCCCAAAGGCTGGAATCTTCATGACTGCCCAGCTGTGTGACTCTTGGTTCCAGCTGCAACCCCACACTAAATGCAGCATTTGAAACACGTTTCACTCCTATTGTTTTGCTATCTGAAAGCTCTGTCTGTGATTTTGCTGTCAAATATGAGGTTTGTGGGTAGTAAAATGAGCATCTTCCATGGATCCCAGAGGTGGCTGAGCCCACAGGCTGTTCCTGCAGGACTGAGTTTAGGCTGGATGATGCTGCAGAGCTGGCAAACCTTCCTGGCATGGTTTTGCATAGAACGTGGGCAGAACAGAAAGGGTTTGTGTTCCCTGGTTCATTGACAGCATGCTGAAGGATAAAATTCTCTCAGGACTGACCTTTTATTCCTGGCAGATTGAGGATGGCTTTTAGTGCCTGAGCCCAAACAAAGCACCTTCACCAACATCTGTGCCTGGTGCAGCTCAAACCTGGCTCCTGATGCCTCCTTTTGCCAAGAAAACTGTGTTTAGGGATTCTCTTTTGAGGCATTGAATTCATTGCAGGGTTTGTGCTACTGAAAGAGCTTGGAGCATTTTACACTGAAATTTTATGAGGCTTATCACAGAACTGAACTGTCAGGATGAAATATCTGAGAGAGGTGAACAAGCGATGTTAATGAAATAATTATTGATTTGAGATGTCTGTTCTAGGAGAGCTTCTACACATGGGACTCTGCTAGAGTGTCAGGTAAATGGGCTCTCAAGACAGAAAGCCTTTGCTCTTTCAGCATCACAGTACTTTCTTGAAATAAATACTCCTATAATCATTTTTATAGGGATTAAAAAATGAGAAATACCAGACACGAAAATCATGGCACAACTGAATGAACACAGAAAATTCAGAGGGAAGGGAAGGATAATGTTTCCTTGTTTCTTGACTTCCCTTTTGGTGACCAGCTTGTTATCTGCAAGAGAGGCATATTCATTTGATGGTCCTTAAGGAGCAGGAATAGTCATAGAATCCCAGAATGATTTGGGTTGGTATGGACTTTAAAAACCATATCATTCTGACCTTCTACCATGGGCAGGGACACCTTCCACTAAACCAGGTTACTCCACACCCTCCCCAGCCTGCTCTGCAGTGCTGTCCATGGGCTGTTTTCTAAATGTTCATTTTTCTTTTTTTTGAAGGCTTAGGAGATATGAAATGAATATTCTGTTCTTGAAACTCAGTATAATTTTCTGATGTAACATGAAGCATTTCTGGGAGCTACAACTGTTTTTTAAGAGCTGTTGGGTTACATCAGAAACACCAACAGAATTATGGCAGCTGCTTTTCCAGACAGGGCCAGCAGTGATGCAGCATGTGATTACAGGCTCTCTGTCCCATCAGGAGAATATTCCTGCAAATGATTATTGAGAGCATCGTTGCAGAGCATTACTGAGGCTGAAATAGCTGTTTGCATTATGGGCTCACCTTCTTGAATTCAAACCCACTGTTGCAACACCGTTTCAGAAATCTGGGAAGAGCCATCTGCCTTGATTGTATCATTTGAGGTATTTAACACCTATAACAAAGGAGATTCAGGGTTGTGGGGTTTCTTGTTTGTTTGTTTGTTTACTTTGTACTTTTCCAACCAGTGTTAAAAAGGAACTTTCAGATATTTGAGGTTTTAAACCTGCAGTTGCTGTTTACAGCAGAGCTCATTATACCTGGGTGAGGAAGTGCATGTCCCACCACACAGATCTCAGGTGTGATTCTCTGGATAGCAAACAATGTTCTCTCATACAGTTTCTATCAGAATTATTTCAGTTCTTCACTGGCTGTGAAATCTGTGAGCCCAAAGAGCCAAATGAATGGGCAAATGAGGGGATGAACTGAAAACCCTCACTTAGAACCACTGGGTTTGTACCCAGGAGTGCAGGTGAGGCCAGGTGTGCAGGGCACAGCAAACAGATACCTCCAAAGCTGCACAGCTGAGCTGACACAGCCTCCTTGGAGTTATTTTTATGTAAGGACAAGTTCTTCAATAGCTTTTCTGGTGCATTAGGCACAGCATGTTTTTCTTCATCGCTGACAGTGGCTTCCATGTATTTCTGCATTCCAGGAATGCACTGGCAGCACTGTAGCCATTGTGAGGAAAATCTGCCTGTGCATATACTCTGCTGTGTCTGTTCTGCTGTGAGCCAGGGTGCCTGCTATAAGGCTGCCAAATTTTGTGTTATTTCATACCAGAGGAAATCTTTAAGCGTGGTATTTAGCAACATACAGCAAAATCTTCAGTGTTTTGGCACTAGGATTGCTTCCCTGATCTTAGCATGCTGAGAGGTGCAGAACATGGCTTGCTGCAACAATAACTGCTTCATTTTATAGGCCCTCCAAGCATTTTAACGTATGGAATCATCTCCTGTAAAATACATGGAGAGCACAAAGGAAATAATTGGGCCAGGGCTTTGCAAAGCCGTGTGGAGATCTGCCTTTGAATTCCTGTTGCTCGCTGCCTTTTCTGGGATGAGAGGAGGGGGAGGCTGCCCTGCCCAGCGTTACCTGCTCGGGTTGAATGGGTGGTGCACGGCTCTATCCCATGCTTTGGCTGCAAGTAGGTTGAGCATGACCTAACCTTTGTGGTAGCAGCTAAATCGAGGAGCAATTAATGGCTACCAAGGGCTTTCAGTGAAAGGGGATGAGGTGTTATAGCCTCCAGACAAAGGAGGAAAAGGAACAGGAACGCTGGCGTTAACACAAATAAGGGAAAAGCCAACCTGCAGCTCAATTTCCATTTGTTAGGTAACAGTATAGCTTGAAATGAGCCCATTTCTGTGTTACTGGAAATTAAGCTGAGTGCTGTCAGGCAAACCAGCTGCTGCCAGGTAACACATAAATTCTGGGTAATCACAAGTGCATGAGCCCGTGCTGGAGAACCAGAGCTAATAGAGCCCAGTGAGGGAACAGACACAAACCTCAGCTCAGTCACTGCAGCAGCCAGGTATGCATGGGCAGTGTCATGTGTCAAGTAAAGGTGAGGAGAGTGTGCTTATATACAGAAATTTTAGCTGTTGATAGGGCTGAGA